TGGTGCCTGTAGACTATACGAGTGAGTGGTATACATGCAATATATCCATTGTTATTGTTGCTGAACAGCCTAGTCCTTCCGAATCTCACCGGTACTTATCTAATTGGAGTCAGTCCGTATATAATAGGGCCCTTTTACGTACACAAAGAACACGCGATCTCATTCGGGTGGCCTCGCCCACACATGCATGAGAATCTTTACCAAGCAGCAACAACTGAGAACTCCCTTAGTTTTTGCCATGAGCCTTTGCTTTGTTTGGACAGGATATCACGATATGATCTCTATGTTCTCCATCCGGTCTGTTCTTGTTTATACATCATCAGCCATTAAATCAAATGTGAAGCATTCAGTAATTATAACATATTATTGACACTGTTGTAGTTCTGAAACTCTGATGAGACAGCTTGAAATCAAAATGGATGCTTGCTTGTTTGTGAATAAGAAATATTGTAACTTTGCACACCATTTGGTAAAAAAAATGGGCAAAAAAGACAACTTGGCGTCTAGCTCGACCAAATGATACCTGATGAAACTTCCTCTGGGTCTAACTCATAAATTAACCACTATTGGAATATCTCTCTGCAATGGTTACATGTCAGAGACATTTATCAGTCATTTGACTCACCTAAACCAGCCACAATGTACAGGGTGGTGCAAAAGTCGTGCACTATAGGATAAATCGGAGTAAATGTTCAAAACGTTTGCTATTAACTTGAAAACACTTCGATTCATTGTATGCATAACATTTGAACATATATTAACTCCACCCTCTTGTCTTTTGTTAATTTTGCTGTCATCAGTTACTTGCAAATGAAGAAACAAGAATTAATGTAATGCAACAGTGAAATCCTCTATGGTGCGCGACTTTTGCGCCACCCTGTACATGCTGGCAATGCAAACATTCTTTAGATTAAGTATGGGAATGCCAAGCAATTTGGACCTGCCTTAAGAAATTGAGACTGCTTGGTGCCGTGTCGTCGGCAGGCTTCACTCAGGGACAGAAGGACGCCTGTGTATCCACAATGAAAAACATCAGGCAAATGAGGACTCACCAAATCGTACAACCGTACCAACTGCAAAGATGACACTTCCATGGCATCCAATGACAAAGACATCGAGACTGAAATTTTTTGACTTCGTACCAACTCCTGGTTGGGGCATGCAGACAGGAGCTTCTGAAGGGTGAAATTCCCCAAATGATGAGTGGCAAGTAGAGAAATTTGATTCTCGAACAGGCCCTCGTACAATTTCTTGTAGATGCTTCGGTTCGACGTCACGACGAGGACCTCGACGACGTGCAGGGTCGATGCATCTTCCAGGGCTTCCGCCAAGGAGCCGGCTAAGGACCCGCAGATGAATTTTGCGAGAGCTTTCCACAGCTTCTTGTTTCGCCAATGGGTTACGAGGAGCAGGGTCTGGATCACCCGGGAGCTCATCTCGGCCTGCAGCAACTCTGGAATGGAAAAGCAGTTTTAAAATGGAGAAGTATTTTTATTATGAAATCATTTTGATGGGAATTCTGATTTCATATTGCTTTCACAAATTTCTCAAAACTGTATTTCATTCTCTAACTTGCAACAAACTTTCATAGGATCTCCTGAAATGGTTCTCAAGAAATGAAATAAATCTAGAAAAAAGGACCAGAACTATACCTATGAGTTGCGGATGATTCAGAAACCATTGCACATAGCCTTCAAGGATGGACAGGAACCCTGGAGGAGGTTCGAACTCGGGGACTTCCGCACCAACCCCGAGATTCTTTCTTTTCCTGCCCTTCCGTTCTTCACCTTCACTGGGGATCCCAGCCAGACACTGGATGGCAGTCCTGACGATGTGACTGCTGTACTGGTTTCCAATCATGTCGTGGATGTTGTTCAACAGGTACTTTGACACACGTACCACCCATGCAAGGCTCTTTTCGTCCTGTATGATGAAAGAGACAAGTAAATAGATGTCGAAAATCAATACAGAAGAAGCAAAAATGAATCTGTATCTCAGTCAACAAGTAAGTTTACTTATACAATAGTATTAGGTTGTCCCAAAAGTTTCTTTCGTAATTCGCGCGAATGGCGTTGCTAGGCAATAGAACAGCGGATAGTGCGTTCTACCGGCTCTTTTTTGTTTTTTTCACGTTCACGTGTCTTTTCTCTTCCTGACTGTGTTTTGTTTGCGGATAAACTGCTTCATTATTTTCATGTGCGTGCTGAAAAATGGATAACCAGAGGAGACATTTTCGGCATGTGATGTTGCACTGCTTCAAAAAAGGCATCGGGACTGAGGAAACTGCAAGTGAGATTTGTGGCGTTTACGGGGACCATGCTGTGACTGTCCAGACCGCTCGCACTCTGTCACGCTTGTCACGCACTCTGAATCTTCTGAACCAAGTGCGAACGGTCTGGACAGTCACAGCATGGTCAGGAAGGTCACTGTCAGGAAGAGAAAAGATGTGAACGTGAAAACAAAAAAGAGCCGGAAGAATGCACTATCCGCTGTTCTATTGCCTAGAAACGCCATTCGCACGAAGTACGAAAGAAACTTTTGGGACAACCTAATACATTCAAGTGAAGTAATGAACAATAAACATAATTTTTAAAATGTAAATACTGTCAATTTTCAAATTGCCCCAGCAGTCATAATCTGGATTTCCAAAAACAAGATATGCAACACAACACATTGTGACACAGTGACACCCAAACACAATTGTGTTTTCACTATTCATAGTCACTGGGCTGTTACTGTCCAATAGGACCGCCAAGAGATACCATAGTCATAAGGATGAGAAGTATAATCAGCAGCAATTTGAGCCTCAATGACAGCTGAGTATTCAGAATTCACTCGATTATGCCCTAGCCTCTCAACATCACAGGGCTGCAGGATTCGCATCGATATCACATACTCAACAGCCTACAGTGATTAGGGCAGCAGGTTTCAGTTGAGTTCAGGTCAAGGTGGTAATTGCAATCAGGAAATGCAAAGACCATATGGCTGCCTCTCCATGATGGAAAGGACCTAAAATTCCATTTACTACCATCTTCTTGTTGTTCCACTTTTGCCCTACTTTCTCCTTGAATATTTAAAATATATTTTCCTCCCATCATATTTCCCAGAAAAAGGCATCTCTGTTCCTAAATGTTTCCCTAGCCTTCTTCTAGCAATGTCTACATCAAATTGCAATTCAGAGCCTGAGTTAGGATGAGGGTACTATACATTATTCATCCAAGCAACTTAACAATTCTACATATAATGAAGATGCTGTTGAAATAACAGCCTCTAATGTTATATTATCAATAAGATTAATGTTTTACAAAAGCACAGATGCTTTAAAGATGCATAACATTATTGAAGGCTTTTAGAACTCACTGTTAAGGCCTTCCATTGTCAACCACATTGGAAAATTTTAAGCATATCAATTGCAATATGGGGTCTTGCAGACGACACTTCCCAGGATTCTCACCTGATTAGCTGCAACATGAATGGTGGCCGACACGAGAGACGTCTGCAGGACGTGGCTGGCAAAGGAATGAAAGGTGCACTTCCTTAGATCCTCCCCAAGGGCAGTGTAGATGCGATGCAGCTGCTCCGGGGTCGAGAGGGTCAGGAGCCTCTCCACGCAGCGGGATGGCATCTGGTGGAAGGCGAGGCATGACTCCCGTCCGACAAACTGGTTCAGTACGTTCTCCACGAACACCTCTGTCGGCCAGAAGAGCATCATCATGGAGACTGTTTCATACATGCACTAGGGTACATGTACCACAAAGAAAAAGTGTCAACCTCGTTCTGAATCGTCATCAAAGACAAGTTCATCCTGGGAATGGAAGATCTGCTTCAGATACTGAAGGTCCTCTTCTGTCAAATCGCTCTCTCTCCCTTCTTTCACCTCTCTTGAATCATGGAACGACTCTGTGTCGTACCTCCGACCCTTATTAACGGGTCTGCCTCGTTGCTTATGTACAAAAGACCTGTCCTCAGATTCCCGGTTCATCTGTAATTACAAGAGAGGAAACAGCCATAACAAAGAGATTGACTGGCAGCACTATAAGCCTCCTCTCCAGGTAAATAGAGAGAAACATGGAACACGGTGAGAATCTAGCTTTGCCTTTCATGCGTCACACTTTTACAGTACACAATGTGGAAGGGAAGAGCAGCTGGGCAAGAAGATTCTGAAAGATTCAACCTTTGCCTTGAATTGCCTTCATTGGGTCTCTGCAAGACAGAATGACCTCCAAACTGGGACAGAAATGCAACGGCAGCCTCAGACCACTTTGGAATTCATTAGAAATGACAGTCAGTTTTATCAGTTGTGACTAAAAATACTGTCATTCTTGGCAGAAGCACCAAGTCTATAGCCAAACATGAGAGTGGTGAAAATATTATATGAACAATATTTTAAGAATCAGAACATGTGGTTTTTATGCTAGCATATGAAAAAATTATGAGTAACTATGACTATACCAATGAAAGAGATATAAAAAAAGAATAAAGGGAAACAGAACCAAAAGAAAAATACTTATTATATCTGAGGTCTTGATTGGGGCAAAGTATTTTTTAAATCAACTAACCTGTCAAAAGCAAAAGGTATTTCAAATGGTTTCATTTTCATGCTCAACTACAATGAAATGTCCCAGTGACCATGGGGCTCTGCCTTTTTTTTTCACAAAAACTTAAACTTTAAATATTCATAGCTCCAATTAAAATTATCTAACTTTTCTATTTCAAAGAGTCCTGAATCTGAACAGAAAGCAGTGGAAAGGACTGTCAAATAGATGAAAAAGGAGAGGAAGCACATGGAAGGGAAGCAGTGTAAACCAGTCATGACTGGATGTGAAGGAAAGGCCCAGCAAAATCCCAAAGAGGACCACATCATCAGATTACAGGGCCAACTGGCATTCAAGACCCCAAGGAAGAGGACCCGGCTCCAGAAAGAATGCTTCAGCAGCACAACAACATTTAGAATAGGTTTCCTTTATGGATGGAATTGCACAAATCACATAACAAGGAGAACCAGGTTTATGACAACTCTGTGTGCTTGGAAATCATAAAGGTTACATGTGTAGTTCAAAGTTCTCAAGAGGAACCTGCTGAGGAAAGCCTTCCATTTCATGAGAAGCCCCACTCAAAAGTGACTTGAGTTAATAACAATTGGATTACTTAAGGAGTGGCAAGAAGTTCCAGTTTTTCCATCTCTTTACAGTCATGGTATCCACAATTCAAAAGGATCATTATCAGTCAGTAATACTTTGTCTTGGAAATTGGTCCCCAAACTGCATCAAAACTAAGCTTATTCTCAAAGTGATTACATCTGCAATAACAGGATCATATCATTGGCTAAAGTACCATTATCAGGGAACACAGAAACACTTGTAGTGCATATGCAGCTTGATCTGCTCACCTGACTTAAATTTTGTCAGAAATAGCTGGAAGATTGACTTATAATTCAGAGTTTGATTTATACTGATTTTAGATTGCAGACTAGTCCTGAGCTTGGAGGTTGGAATCGGATGCATGATCTTGGGACTGCTGGCACAAAACCTGGTTCTGAAGAAATGTGCATCGGACAAGGAAAAGGCAGGGGATGACATCGATTGAAGGAGAAGACTACTTCTGCCAAACCATCATCTGATCAACTTTGTTGGATGCAACAAGATGAAATATGTGTGAAAGCAATGACATTCCTTACAACTGAATATCTTTCATTGGTTCTGTATCCTCATCAGTTCATCATATGAACTGACATATGAGGATGCAATAAATGCCTTTCCTTAAATTAAGACCCTGCATGGAAACTTGACATAATACCCAGTAGGATAGATGTAGAAGTTATCGCTCAGAAAACTTCCAATATGAGAACCCCAAATTTTTCCACTAATCAATGCTTAGAAGAATGTAGTAACATCGAATGTTCTAGCTGCTACAAGAAAGATACATAAATAATGAGGGAGCCCATGTAGGTTCTGACCAGTGATGCAGTTTCATTCACTCTTTCCCTCAAAAATTCCTTCATTTTAACTACATGGAGCTAAGTAGCCAGTAGAGACCTTTATTAAGCTAAAACCCATGAGATGCTGCTGCAAATCAATGACTCCTCATGTCAATCAACCAGATGATGGTCTCAAGAGGATGACTGCTCGAGATATCAAGTAGTACTTGGACTGGTACTAAGAGTACCTGTGATTGTCAAATCCAGGTTGTGCAGTACACTTCAAAGTTGGCAAAATCAAAATAAACATTAAAAAAGCATACAGGGTGCATGAGTAGAATTGGCGCGAGTTTAAACAGGTAAAATCCAGATAATACAATATTTTCTTGACCCATGTTATTGATTCAAGATTCTCAGTTATCAGTAAGACTTCAAAGAATGCAGACCCCAAACAGATTGGATGATTATGAGTGGCCTGAGGAGTGGAGAAGGAAGGTGATAGTCTAC